AATAAATATCATCATCATAGATGATGATGATAAGCAGTTCAATACATTATCTTCTGTCTTGAAGTGCAATATTTATAATTATACAAAGTATATAAACAAGATCTGCTAGTATCAACACTCAGAATTAGTGACTGATTAATAAAAAGAAGTAAATAAGAATAAAATTATTAAAAATATTAATAAGAATAGTAATAAATAAAAATCAAAGAATAATAGAAATAAAAATAAAAATAAAAATAAAAATAATAACTTTATTGATAAAATAATAAATCTTTTTATCTCTTAATCTAATATCAACTCTGTAATTACTCTATCTATTTCATTTGAAATATCATCAAAGTTTCAATGATATCTTAATACTAATTTTAGTTTTTATATAAGTAGTGAAGATATCTGATAGTATATTTAAAGTCATTCAAAAAGAATTTTAAAGTGAACATGACTAACAATGATCAGAAACAGATCAAAAATATATAAAATATTCTTTTACAATTAGAAAAGAGAAATATCATGATTCAAGACATTTACTAAATTTCAAATCTTACTGTTAATTTATTATCATTCATAAAGTTAAAAGATTAAGACTTTAGATTCAAACTATTCTCAATCACTTCATCCTATTTTATCATTTATGTTTTAAATAATGTCACATTTACTGCAATTCACACATCATAAAGCTTTATCTATAAGATTGTTGAACAAGACTTGAAAAATAATATCCATTATATGTTTAAAGTGATCAATTATATCAATTAATTTTATAATTATAAAGATGCAATAATGGCAGTCAAGTGTTCAATTTAACAATTCAACTGTGTTCTCATGAAAAAAATGATGATGGACAGGATTAGCCTTTAGATACAGCTGTGTTTAAACATTTTATATATAGCATGTTACAGTTAAATTCTGGGATAGAATAGCTAGCTTTGACTATGCAAAGATATCTCACCTGTTGGTGCGTGGGGGGGTGTTGGGCATGACCGCCCAGTAGCCACACCACCTCACGTGATGTACGCGTATATTAGTTAGCTGACCAGTCCTCCCACCAATGGAAATCCAACCATCCCACAAATTTGAATGTGTAGTCATGTGGGGAGGTCGGCCAAGCCTTTTAGCGAGGTCGACTGATCTCATCAAGCTAATCTCCACTAAATGTGGTTTACGTGCTAGGCTGCGTACAACTGAAAATTTCAAGGGCTTTCACATATTAGTTTTCCATAGCATTTAATAATCGTATATTGAATGAAATTATATAAGTACTACTAGAGGGAGTTAAATACATTCATTACATGTTATAAAAACAAAAATGTCGGAACTTATATAGCTGCAGGTTCCAGGTGGTATACAGTGTCTATTTATAAAATAACAACTAGATACTCAAAGGTCAATTAAATCAAGCAATCAGTTGTATCGTTATATATATGTATCTTTGCATGGTGGCTGATTAACGTTCTCATTTTTAAAGCTATCTAGAGCTATCCACCTGGGTCTTTTAATAAACTGGAGGGTGATATTGGATACATAAACAGCTACACATGAAGCTCTAAGATAATAATAATAATAATAATAGTAGTAGTAGTAGTAGTAGTAGTAGTAGTAGTAGGAGCAGCAGCAGCAGCAGCAGCAGCAGTGGTAGTAATAACGGATTGTGAATATTGCCAAGTTGTATTGAAGACTACTAGGTACTGAGGTCAGGTGAGCTGAGAGGGGAGGGGAGCAGAGAGAGGAAAACGGACCATCCGTTCTGCGGCCGAGATCAAGGGTTGCACCGAGAATGACAATGGACAGTGGGTGAAAGTTGACCGAAGTAGAAATAAGGTGGAAATTAAAAGGAAATTTGTGACCGGCGGAACATAAAATAGGGATACACGTTCATATACCACTAACATTCTAGCATATTATTGTCAATAAATAATGTCAAATCATGGGTAGTTTCTTTCAAATGGGGGAAATAAAGATCAAAATCAAAATAAGAACAAGACATAGACAGTAAAAACTTGTAAACTAAATAAGGAATAATATAGTTTTAGATCAGAGCACTCTATATTTGGGTAACATGTAGTAGATATCAGAGGAGCGAAATGATATAAGGGGGCAAATATGACTTGCACAGTTTGGGGGGATAAAACTTAAAAATCGATGGCCTGCCCCCCATCTTAAATAGTGAGGCCAGAAACAAACAGCATAACGGGGAATGGAATAGGAAAAGGGTAGAAAACAAGGAAGTGGGGGTATCGGATGCAAGCAGCGAAGAACAAGAAGCTCCACTGTTTTATATTTTACCAGAGATGTAAAGAGCTGGACAGATGGGAGAGCATGACTCAGCCGTTGCTTTTTTGGGCCTTTTCCTGGGCCCTGCTGATTCGGGCTGCTCTTACTAGAGGTGCAAGGCTGGGAAGAGGCTCGCATAGCGACATGAAGTTATGCTACACGGAGGAAGTTAGCAAATAGAGGACAACAGGCACCCGCCCGTCATCGCAAGGAAAATCACACACCTTTAGTAAGTCATGAGCAGACGCTCGTTTCTCGGGGTCAACCCTTAAGGCGAAGTGCAGGAATTCTCGGAAAACTGGGGATAGGTTGTGTTCGTCTTTGATAGTCGGGGTGCCATTGGTCGCGATAAGGTAGAGAGCACGTAAGGGCGATTCAGTAAGGTATGGTGGTTCCCCCTCTATCATTTCAATCGCCATAATACCCAAGCTCCAAATATCAACTTTGCGTCCGTATTCCTTTCGTGTAACGACTTCGGGAGCCATCCAGTACGGAGTTCCGACCATGGTGTTCCGTTTATTTTGGGAATCGTTGATTTGAGCACAAAAACCGAAGTCGGCTGGTTAGTTTGTCAGTGACGGGTGTCGTATTAATGCAGAAGGGCAGCACATACTCAGCTTGATGTTGCCATTCAATGACAAAAGGATGTTATCTGATTTAATATCTCGGTGAATGACGCCCTTTGAATGAAGGTGCTGTAAGCCATTTAGGGTCTGAATTTTATTAGTACAATGAAGCAATGGTTGATGCTGGTCAAGAATGAAAGAGAAAAAGCATACCTCTCTACAAATAGCAGCAATTTGGCCTTCAGTCATGATGTTAAATGTGACAACGTCTGTTAAACTACCACCTTCCATGTATTCCATCACTACCCAGAGATCACCGCCATGTAGGAAGCTGTCCATGAAGTTGACAATATTCTTGTGTTTGCTGTCCTTCATGACCAGAATCTCATTTATGATAAGGTCTTTCTTTGGCTGAAGCTCGAGGTTCATTTGCTTGATTGCGACGCATTTGTTGGTGCCATTTTCATAAGCCGTGAATACACCGCCTGAGGCACCCTGGCCAATTTTATTCAGGTTCCTATACTTGCGGGTTGGATCTCCGGCTGTGCATATGGCATTTAGGCGGGCTCTAATATCAATACCATTGCTTTGACGTGATCGCTGTCGCGGGCGGGGAGATGGACCAAGGTGACCTTGTTGATGGAGCCCTTGCTGGGAGGCTGGTGGCCTCTGAGAAAACTGTTGTTGAGGTGTAGGCGGGATTAACTGTTGATGGTCTAGCCTCGACGAATCTGAGAGAAGAGGAGGGGAAGATTGCTGGTGTTGTTGACTTGGAGAGACAGGTTGGAACTGCAGAGCGGGCGGTGGCGGCGATGGCGGTTGCTGCTGATGCTGGCGTTGGCTTCTTGTGCGCTCAAGCTGTTTGCTGGAGATGGCATGTTGAGCAGCGGTAATAGCCTGTTCTTGTAGCTGTTGGTATTGAGCTGGAGAGGTGACGTGGACTGGAGCAGGTGCATTTCTTGCAGGGCCTGTATCATTGGCATTTGAATTGGACCGACTAGGGCGATTCTCTGGGGGAAATTGTGAAGATTCTGGAATTGAATGGCCAACAAACTGTGGCACAATGGCCTCCTGAGCCGATCTATGCGATCCAGCTATGCCATCCTTTAAAACAGGGGGTGGAGGGGCAGGTCGCACAGGAACAAGGTTATTATTGGTTGGCGCTCCACCTGGAGGTTTTGGAGCCGCACGGTTTGGTACTCTGCTAGCGAAGGGGGATGCTTTACTGGGGGATAAAGGGTTGCCACTTGAAGCTGAACGAGGGATTGGTGGTGGTGCTCTTGGGTTTTCGAAGCTCCCTTCGTGGTTCTGAGGGAAACGAGGGCTAGTAGGAGGGGAGTTAATGGTGGACATTAGTGAATAAGCAGCTGGGCTCAACGCAGCAGGAAGGTGTTTTGAGCCGGGCCCGGGGTCTGTTTGCTCGTAAGGCATTGCATGGCCGAATTTGTGCCAAACATCATCATCGTCCCTGCCTGCAGCGCTTTTCTCATAGAATTTCATAATATCCACCATAGTCTGCGGGTGCTGTTCCTGCTCCTTCTTCGAAATACCGCTCTCCTGGAGCATGCGTTGCCAGTCCTTGGGCAAACCCTAAAACAGTACCAACGAGATTAGTTAGTTTTGTTGTGGGGAGCGGGAGGAGGGAACTCGGGACACAAAGGGAAGGTCTGGGAGGAAAAAGAAGATATTCACGTACCGTAAATTGACCGGTCTCGTTATCATATCCAACATGGGTGACGTGGACAGGGTTTTCAGGTGCTGATATTTTAATGTTTCGGGGGCAACCCAACATGGTATTCATGAAGTTGGAAAATCCTGCCTTGCGTCTACTCAAACTTAATCTACCCCCCCCGCCGCCGCCGCCAGCCCCGGCCGCTACTCCCCCCCCTCCACCTCCACCACCATCGACTGAATTGCGCTTCGAGGATGAAGTGTTTGTATTATCCTCAGGAGGAGGTGAAGGGAATGAATCCATGGATGGATGGCAGGCCGTGAAACTTGCCGACTGTCTTAATGGAGGCTTTGCGGCACGGGAATCGGACTCAGTGGTGTACGAGTGGAGGGGTGTCGGGCGGTCGGCGGGCTGTGGCAACTCAACTTGGTTTGAAGAATCACGGGCGTTAAACATGGTCCTCGCGTCGAAGGGGCTGCTGATTAGGTCATCGGAACTTTGGTCAGTAAACAGAAGATGGGTGTTATATTAAAGTCAGGAGTGAGACGAGTAGAAGGTGGACGTAGATGCATCAAGATCAGTTGCAGAAGAAGTATTGCTCAGGACTGGCGAGTGGCGGACGCTGTGTTGGTCGAGAGAGGAGTAACCAGAGGCGCTGGATTTGGTGCGGAGATGTTCACGGCTGAACCAACGTGGGAGCGGGGATAGATAGGAGTAGAAGGGGGTCTCTGAAGCGAAATTGCGCTTGACTGTTTCCTGAGCGACCAGGAACTGAAGGATACTACAGAAAGGTGGTTGTGGAGTTTAGTGGATGGAGGTCGGTCTTGGTTGAGAGGGGACGTTCGCTGGTTCCATATCCCCTTCTGGGTGGTAAATCGGTCCCTGGGTACGCCGTAGGGATCGCTTGAAGCGCCAGGAATGGAAGAGAGGAGGGAGAGGAGGAACAGGTGGTGGAAGTGAGGGCGCCAAAAAGATCGAGAGAAGTGATCACAATTGGCGGGAAGGGATGGTGGACGAAAATAGGACGTCACAAGCCAAGCAACAACGGATGAAAGAAAACAGGTAAGAGGGCAGCTACTCCTAAGTGTGAATGAAGTTGGGCTAGTTGGCAGTTAGAAGAGTTAGTTGGGGTTGGCTTGTGTTGGTTGTTGGAAGAAGAGGAAGAAGAAGGGGAACAGAGGAGAGAGCGGATTCGGGATTCGGGATGAGAGACTACCATCAGCGGGCGGTGGATAAGCATGGCATGATGGGAAGTGAAGCGGAGGGGAGGGGGACAGCGCAGGGTTACATACATAACAAGTTTGGGGAATGGGTGAAGAAGGGGGCGGTTAATGGGTATAGAGGTAGTCTGTATATGGTGGATAGGTGATGATAGATGATAGATGGTAGATGGTAGCTAAGATAATAAGAATAAGATGGTAAAATGGTTGTTGGTGAATAGAGAGAGGAGGACGGGTTGATACGGGTGGTTGGTTGTTGGTTGGTGTTCGGGCTGGTAGGGCAAAAGGGTAGTAGTATCTAGTATCAAAAAGGAACAATGAAAATAAAAAGAAAGAAAAGAGAAAAAAAAGGAAAAAAAAAAAAAAAGAAAAGAAAAAGAAAAAGAAAAAGAAAAGAAAAGAAAGAACCAGCAAAAAGACTAGTTGTAGCTGGCTTTACAGTACAGTACCAGTAACAAACGCAAATATACTTACAATGCTTCCACAAAACCATTTGCTATTGTTGTTGTTATTCTTCCATTATTGACGTATATAGTGAGTGACTATGATAATTACCTAATATAAAACATTAGAATCTGCTATTTAATAATAATAATATATTTTCAAATATAATATATGTATACAAGTTGCAATTTAAAATATTTAAAAATTTTTAACTTAAAAATTATTATATTTTTAAGTTAAAAAATAATAATATAAATTAATTAATTAATAATTTTTAAAATAAAATTAATAATTATTAAAAAATATTTAATAAATAAAAATAAATTAAAAATAAAAAATATAAAATTTTTAAAAAAATAATTTAATATTAATATAATAAATTACTATTAAAATATAAAATTTTTATATTTAATTAATTTTTTTTATATAATAATTAAACTTTAATATTTACTTAATTTTATTTATAAAGTTAAAAAAGTTTTTTTAATTTAAATAATATATTAAAAATTTAATTTATTTATTTTAATTTTAAAAATATTTTTATAAAATATATTTAAAAACTATAAAAATTAAATAAATATATAAAAATATATAAATATTATTTAATATTCTAATAAAATTAAATTAAAAACTAAATATTAATTTATTTTAATTTTAATATATTTAAATAATTTTTTTAAATAATTAAAAAATAAAAATATATATATAAATATAAAATTTATATTATTATTATTATTATTATTATTACTTATTTTAAAAATATATAATTAAAAATAATAATAATTTTCTTTTTATATTTAATTTATATATTTTTATAATATATAAAAAAATTAAAATAATTAAATAATATTTATTAATATTAAATTATATTTTTTAAAAATATTTAATTTTTACTTTTTTTTATTTTTATTTTTTTATAATATATTAGCTTTTTTATAGATATAAACTATATTAAAATATTTATTTTTATTTATTAATTAATAAGAATATATAATTTTTTATAATATAAAAAGTTTTTTTCTTTAAAATTTACTATAATAAATAATAATATATTTTATTATTATATAAATATAAATATAAATATATATTATTATAATATAACTATTTATATATAAACTAAAATTAATTTACTTTAATTTATAATTATTTTTATTTTAAAGAA